ACTGGAACCGATCTAAGTTTTGATTTTAGCTCTTCAAACGCATTTTCCTGCTTATCGGTCCATTGTTTAGCGGTCCTGCTAATGTCGAATAGTTCTCTATGAATCGGCGGTACCATGATGTTATTCCTAGGAACCGGCGGTGTTGATGCACATTTCTCGGTGCTGTAAGTCCGGTTATAGCGTTGGTTTTCTCCGGGTCAGTTTTTATTCCTTTTGCTCCAACCACATGTCCTAAGTATCTGAGTTCTGACTGGCAAAACATGCATTTCTCGAAGTTCAGCTGTAATCAGTCTTCAAAAGACTTCATGTAGGTGATTTAAATGCTCTTGGAGCGTTTTAGATATTACTACGATATCATCCAAGTAGGCAAACGCGAATTCCATATCGGAGATATAACCTTATCCAGTAGGCGTTGGAAAGTGGCTCCTGCGGAATGCAGTCCAAATGGGGTGGTTTTGAACTGAAAATGGCCTATTCCGGGTACGCTGAATGCTGTCACTGGGCGGATAGTTTCTACTAGGGGTATTTGAAAATATCCCTGTTTCAAATCGAGGGTTGATATAAAATTTGCTTCCTTAAGTCTATCCAGAATTTCCGATATTCTGGGTAACGGATATGCGTCCTTATCTCATAGTTCGTTGACTTTTCTAAAGTCAATGCAAAAACTGTACGAGTTATCCTTTTTCCTAACTAGTACAATCGGTGAACTCCAACCACTTGTGTAGAGTTCGATGGTTCCTTCTTTTAATATCTTGTCCACTTCTTGGTTGATGATCTGCAGCATTGCGGATTGTGCCACCTATAAGGCTGTTTCACTGGATCGCACTTTTTCTTCAATTTTATTTCGTGTGTTATTAAGTTGGTGGGTCCTGTTATGTTCTCAAACTCCCTTAGTTCTTTTCCTAGGAACCTTTCTAACCCCGTACTTTTAGTGGAGTCTTTTAAAGTATTACATGTCTTTTCTTGATGTTTTACATATTGTTTGGGCGTATGTTTATCGAATTTAAGCTCGATAGAATGGTTCCTGAGGAATTCCACTCCTAGTAAGGCATCTTCCGTCAACCCTGGCATTACTATAAATGTTTGTCGGGTTTGTAACTTATCGATCTCGCATTCAATTGTCAACATCCGGTTAATCTCCATTGACGCTCCATTTGCTAGTCTTGTTCTCCCGCTGTAGCTATCCAAAGAGTCCTCGTATGTCTGAGCTATTCTATCCCCGACTTAATTTTTAGTGGTTCCTGTGTCGATGAGCGCTCTGTATGTTCTTTGCCCTATTTTCAGTGATGCGAACAGTATGATGTCTTGCTTGCTGGCTGTGTAACGGCGAAAACGAATGGAGTCGAATCTTGTCTTACAGACTGGGACGACTCCTTGTTTCTCTAGTCTTTAATTCGTTTCCTTGACGCCTGAAACAGCAGTTTCTGCTGTAAACCCCTTCTCTGCCTCAACGCGAACAAAACTTTTCCATAGGTTTTTGCAGTTTTTACGACTGTAACCTGGCATCTTGCATCTAAAGCATGTGGTTTTGGCATCGTATTCTGCTTGGTCCGTAGGTCTCCAGTTTTCAAGGCAAATTTGATTTGATTGGGTCTTTTCGTCTTCTAAAGCTTCATATTCTTGGGCTAAATCTTGTAATTCGGCTAAGTTTTCAAAATCCCGGCGGCGAGCTTAAAGTTTATATTCTGGTAACAAATTTTTGTATATCCTTTCGAGTTCTTGGTTTCTGGAAAAAGATCCTGCTCGTCTGATTAATGTTTGAATCTCCGTGATATATCTATTTACTGGTTCGTTTTGTTTCTGTTTTCTGTTTAGGATTTGCTCCCCTAGTTGTAGCAAATATCCCCTGGGATAGAAATCTTTTTTAAAATCTTCGCTGAAATATGTCCATGACTCCCAATTTTTGTTATTGTTTCTATACCATAACAAAGCATGGTCTCCTAATAATTCTGGTACTCTAGTAACTTAGTAGGTCTTGTTTATCTATCTCGTAGGCCAAGCTTAATTCGTCTATCCTCTCTAAGAATTCTATTGCATGTTTATTTTCAATTTGTTTATGCATCATGAGTTCACAGAATTCCGTGCGTTTGAAATTGTCCTAGTCTAATAACTCTTTAAGTAGTTGAAACTTGGTAACTGTTTCGTTTCAAAATGCTCCTGACAGTCTTCAGCAATAGTTTTGCTTGAACAAGGATCACTAGTTTCAGCAACACTACAAACATAAATTACCCTATTTTGCCGAACTTGCTGTTGATTATTATCTTTCATGGTAGATCCGTACATTTTCGACAGTCTTGTACACAACCAAACGACTAATTTTTTTTTTAATAATACAGCTAATAGTTGATTGTGTCGGTAATGGCCTATCTTCATACACAAGTAAATTAATTTGTAATGTCACGGTACGTGTTGCCCCCAAAATACCATTTTAAAATTTGTACTTCTTCGTTTGTATACATGGTTAGAAAAACTACTTTAATTTCAGCTTATGGCATTATAATGAGAAGCAAAGGTATTTGATTTGCTCGGCCAGGGCCGAGCAAATATACAATAAATTTTAAATAAATTTTAAATTATAAACAATATTTGGAATAATATATATGTATTTTAGTATAAATTAACTAATTCAACTAATACCTAATGAACACAAACAAAATTGTTGTTAAAACATCTGCACAAAATACATTATTTGGAGGGGAAGAGAGAGGGCGGGAGCGGAGAGAGGGAGACAGTGGCAGGGGGGAGAGAGGGATGGTGAGAGATAAAGGGGGTGGAGAGTGAGAGGGAGGGATGGGGAAAGAGGGGGGAGGGTTAGAGAGTGAGTGGGGAGTGTTAGAGAGGGAGAGTGTTAGAGAGAGAGAGAAAGGATAGTATTTGGGAGAGAGGGGATAGTGTTAGAGAGAGGGAGAGAGCGAGAGGGGGATAGAGGGAGAGGGGGTTAGAGGGAGGGAGAGAAAGAGAGAGATAGAGAGAGAGAGAGGGATAGAGAGAGAGAAAGAGAGTGTTAGAGAGAGGGAAAGAGCGTGTTAGTGAGAGAAAGAGAGGGGTTAGAGAGAAAGGGATAGAGAGAGAAAGAGAGGGTTAGATAGAGAGAAAGAGAGGGGAAGAGAGAAAGATAGTGTTAGAGAGAGATAAAGGGATAGAGAGAGATAAAGGGTTAGAGAGAGATAAAGGGTTCAGAGAGAAATAAAGGCTTAGAGAGAGAGAGATAAACTGTTAGAGAGAGATAAAGGGTTAGAGAAAGAGATAAAAGCTTAGAGATAGGGATAAAGGGTTAGAGACAGAGAGATAAAGGGTTAGAGACAGAGAGATAAAGGGTTAGAGAGAGAAAGATAAAGGGTTAGAGAGAGAGATAAAGGGTTAGAGAGAGATATAAAGGGTTAGAGCGATAGATAAAGTGTTAGAGCGATAGATAAAGTGTTATAAATGGTTAGAGAGAGATAAGGGGTTAGAGAGAGAGATAAAGGGTTAGAGAGAGAGATAAAGGGTTAGAGAGAGAGATAAAGGGTTAGATAGAGGTAAATGGTTAAAGAGAGAGATAAATGGTTAAAGAGAGAGATAAATGGTTAAAAAGAGAAATAAATGGTTAAAGAGAGAGATAAATGGTTAAAGAGAGAGATAAATGGTTAAAGAGAGAGATAAATGGTTAGAGAGAGAGAAAAAGGGTTAGAGAGAGAGATAAGGGGTTAGAGAGAGATATATAAAGGGTTAGAGAGAGATTAAGGGTTAGAGAGAAAAAGATAAAGGGTTAGTGAGGGAGAGATAAAGGGTTAGAGAGGGAGAGATAAAGGGTGAGAGAGAGAGAGATAAAGGGTGAGAGAGAGATAAAAGGAGAGAGAGATAAAGGGAGATAGAGAAAGAGATAAAGGGAGAGAGAGAGAGATAAAGGGAGAGAGAGAGAGAGAGATAAAGGGAGAGAGAGAGAGAGATAAAGGGAGAGAGAGAGAGATAAAGGGAGAGAGAGAGATAAAGGGAGAGAAGATAAAGGGAGAGAGAGAGATAAAGGGGGAGAGAGATGGTTAGGGAGTGTTAGAGAGAGTGAGAAAGAGGGTTAGGGAGTGTTAGAGATAGTGAGAAAGAGGGTTAGAGAGGGAGACTGCTTGAGAGGGAAAGAGAGAGAATTAGAGGGAGGGAGAGAGATAGAGGGTTAGAGGGAGATAGAGAGAGGGGGGTTGAAGAGGAAGAGGGTAGGAGAGAGAGAGAGAGTGAGAGAGAGAGAGAGAGAGAGAGAGAGAGAGAGAGAGAGAGAGAGAGAGAGAGAGAGAGGTTTGGAGAAAGATTTAGAGAGGGGGAGAGAGAGAGAGAGAGGGAGAAAGTGAGTGAGAGTGGAAGAGAGAGGGAGAGATGGTTAGAGAGAGATAGGGTTAGAGAGGAAGGGAGAGATAGGGTTAGAGAGAGAGAAGGAAATTGGGGTGAGAGAGGGTTAGAGGGAGGTAGAGGGGTAGAGAGAGCAAAAGAGAGGGGTATAAGAGAGGGAATGTTAGAGAGAGAGTGTGTTAAAGAGAGAGAGGGTTAGAGAGGTAGAGGGAGAGGGTTAGAGAGGGAGATAGAGGCTTAGGGATAGAGAAAGAGATTGTGAGAGAGTGAGAGATAGAGAAAGAGATAGTGAGAGGGTCAGAGATAGACAAAGGGATAGTGAGAGGGTGAGAGATAGAGAGTGAATGTGAGAGAGTTAGAGGGAGAGTGATTGTGAGAGAGTGTGAGAGAGAGTGAGTGTGAGAGATAGATAGTGAATGTGAGAGAGAGTTAGAGGGAGAGTGATTGTGAGAGTGTGAGAGAAAGTGAGTGTGAGAGAGAGTGAGTGAGTGAGAGAGTGAGTGTGAGAGTGAGTGAGTGTGAGAAAGAGTGAGTGTGAGAGAGAGTGAGTGTGAGAGATAGATAGTGAATGTGAGAGAGACTTAGAGGGAGAGTGATTGTGAGAGAGAGTGTGAGAGTGAGTGTGAGAGAGAGTGTGTGAGAGAGAGTGTGAGTGTGAGTGAGTGTGAAGAGTGTGAGAGAGAATGCGTGTGAGAGAGAGAGTGAGTGTGAGAGAGAGTGAGTGTGAGAGAGAGTGAGTGTGAGAGAGAGAGTGAGTGTGAGAGAGAGTGAGTGTGAGAGAGAGAGTTAGAGAGAGTGAGAGAGAGTTAGAGAGAGTGAGAGAGAGAGTTAGTGAGAGTTAGAGAGAGTTAGAGAGAGTGAGCGTTAGAGAGAGTGAGAGTTAGAGAGAGTGAGAGTTAAAGAGAGTGAGAGTTAGAGAGTGTGAGAGTTAGAGAGAGTGAGAATTAGAGAGAGTGAGAGTTAGAGAGAGTGAGAGTTAGAGAGAGTGAGAGTTAGAGAGAGTGAGAGTTAGAGAGAGTGAGAGAGAGTGAGAGAGTGAGAATATTATTCTCTCTCTCTATAAGTGTTTATTATGCCGAGAACAATATCGTACGACAGAAGAATTATGTTTCCGATGTTACGAAAATGTCGATTCATCTGTAAACAAAATGTTTTTTTTTAATGTTTATTTTCAATTTGTTCATCCAGGTTCACTAGTTTCAGCAACACTATAAACATCAATTTCCATATTTTGCCGAACTTGCTGTTGATTATTCTTTCATGATAGATTCGTACATTTTCGACAGTCTTGTACACAACCAAACGATTAATTTTTTTTAATAATACAGCTCATACTTGATTGTGTCGGTATTGGCCTATCTTCATAGGCACAAGTTAATTAATTTGTAATGTCACGGTACGAGGTGCCCCCAAAATACCATTTTAAAATTTTACTTGTTCTTCGTTTGTATATGTACCGGGTGGTCCAATAAGCCGATCTGTCGGCTATATATCAGAAACTATTCATGTCATAACTGGTCATGTCATGTCAACTATCAAGTTTCTGGGTTAACCGCTAGGGGGAGTAACCTGTGAAGAAAAATTTGAAAACCAGTTTTTTGTGAAATATGCCTAATCATACCAAGTGTAAAATAAGTAAACTAAAAAGAGGCCTAAATTCTGCACAAAGTTGTTCAAGTACTTTTTTTTATTTTGTCAAATAAAGGGCGGGGGAGAGTGGGAAAGTATTTGTGGATAAATACCTATAACTTTGGTTTGTATCAACCAATTTTAACGAAATTAGTATCATTAAAAAGAGTGTTGATAATTTAATTTACATCTACTATAAAACAATTGCATTTGGTTTTAATCGTCATAGATAGAGGGTACGTTTGAATAGAAAAAATTAAAATTTGTTTTTCTTCAAAATGTTTAATAGAAACACCTATTTATTGTAAATTATAATGGAACTGGATTAAATTCGTAACAAAATGGCGCAAACCGCATGTTGATAGCTTTTGTCGAACTCGAGATATGAATAAAAACTCATAAACGTAAGTAAGTATAGTATTGACTCACCCTTTATTATAACTTAAAATTACATATGTGAAAAATCATACAAATATCTCGATCATTAAAACTTAATGTCCAATTAAATGTTCAAATTGTTTTCCATCGTTGTCTACACAAAGATGTAATCTTTCGCGCGTAGACTTACAGCTGCTTCAATCTCAGCTGTTGATATAAAACTCAAAAAATCTTGAAAAATCCACAATTGTTTCACAAGATAAATCGTGCATACGTATTTTTAAAAAACGAATAAAAGGATAAAAGCGCCGTGTTGCTGTTTTTATCGGAATATTAAAATAACAGTTGAATCTAAAGTTTAAAGGGAATTCCAAGTTTCTGACCTAAACGTTCACTTTATAATATGAAAAACCAACCTGTAATGTTTTAAAATCCTTAGAACAGTAGTTTTGGGTATGTTTAATTCTATAGAGATTTGCCGACTACTTATATGTGGATTCTGTTGAATTAAAGCAAAAACATTGACTAAATTATCTTCGGTCATACCTCTACTATGTAGTTTAAAACAAGGACGATGAAAACTACCAGTTTCTCTTAATCTTCTTGCCTTTCTTTTAAATACTTCTTTGCCATAATGTCTCCTGTCAGGATATCTTACATAATATATACGTGAGGCAATAGCGGCATTTTGGTGACATTCAAAATAAGCTCCGATCGTATCATACAATTCTGCATTTGATATACTCATCACGAATTATTAGTACTAATAATTAATTACTAATATTATCAATATTAATATCTATTGAAAAAAGTGGAATCTTTAATTCGAATTATAATATACCACTTCTTAACAATGTTTTGACTGTTGTCAATATATAAACAATATGAACTACCCGTCAAATTCATTGTCGTAGCCTACTTTTTAATCATATAAAATAACAATGGCCAAAATAGGTATCAACATTAAGATTCTTCTGCTATAAAAAAATTTGAAATTACCTACTGACTTATTTTTTAATTTAATTTATAATACAGGGTGAGTCAATACTATTCTTACTTATGTTTATGCGTTAGCTCGAGTTAGACAAAAGCTATTAACACGCGGTTTGTGACATTTTGTTACGAATTTACAATAAATAGGTGTTTCCATTAAACATTTTGAAAAAAAAAACAAATTTTAATTTTTTCTACTCGAAAGTACCCTCTACCTATGACAATTAAAACTAAATGCAATTATTTTATAGTAGATGTAAATTAATTCATCCACACTCTTTCTAATGACACTAATTTCGTTAAAATCGGTTGATTCAATCCAAAGTTATAGGTATTTATCCACAAATACTTTCCCACTCTCCCCTACCATTTATTTGAAAAAATAAACAAAAAGTACTTGAACAACTTTGTGCAGAATTTAGGCCTCTTTCTAGTTTACTTATTTAACACTTGGTATAATTGGGCATATTTCCCAAAAAACTGGTATTCAAAGTTTTCTTCACAGATTACGCCCCCTAGCGGTTAACCCAGAAATTTGAAAGGTATTTCCAGCGATTTCCCTTGGCCACTTTTACTAAGAAATTTTTTCTCCTAAAGTTATAACATGAATAGTTTCTGATATATAGCCGAGAGATCGGCTTATTGGACCACCCGGTACATGGTTAGAAAAACTACTTTAATTTCAGCTTATGGCATTATAATGAGAAGCAAAGATATTTGATTTGCTCGGGCAGTGCTGTAGATACCTTAAATATACACACTTTTAAATTTTAAATTATAAACAATATTTGGAATAATACGTATATGTATTTTAGTATAAATGAACCAATTCAACTAATACCTAATGAACACAAACAAAATTGTTGTTAATTAAACATTATTATCTGCACAAAATACAGTATTTGGAGGGGAGAGGGGGGATGGGAGAGAGAGACAGGGGGAGAAAGAGGGAGGTGTAGAGAGAGAGGGAAGGGAGGGAGAGAGGGCGGGAGTGTTAGAAAGAGGGAAGGGAGGGAGAGAGGGCGGGAGTGTTAGAGAGAGAGAGGAAGGGAGGGTTAGAGAGAGAGAGAGGAAGGGAGGGTTAGAGAGAGAGAGAGGAAGGGAGGGTTAGAGAGAGAGAGAGGAAGGGAGTGTTAGAGAGAGAGAGGAAGGGAGGGTTAGAGAGAGAGGAAGGGAAGGTTAGAGAGAGAGAGAGAGGAAGGGAGGGTTAGAGAGAGAGAGGGGAAGGGAGGGTTAGAGAGAGAGAAGGGAGGGTAAGAGAGAGAGAGAGGAAGGGAGGGTTAGAGAGAGGAAGGGTGGGTTAGAGAGAGGAGGGAGGTGGGAGTGTTAGAGAGAGGAGGCAGGTGGGAGTGTTAGAGACTGAAGAGGGAGGTGGGAGTGTGTGTGAGAGAGAGAGAGAGAGAGGAAGGGAGGGTTAGAGAGAGAGAGGAAGGGAGTGTTAGAGAGAGAGAGGAAGGAGGGTTAGAGAGAGAGGAAGGGAAGGTTAGAGAGAGAGAGAGTGGAAGGGAGGGTTAGAGAGAGAGAGGGGAAGGGAGGGTTAGAGAGAGAGAAGGGAGGGTAAGAGAGAGAGAGGAAGGGAGGGTTAGAGAGAGGAAGGGTGGGTTAGATAGAGGAGGGAGGTGGGAGTGTTAGAGAGAGGAGGGAGGTGGGAGTGTTAGACAGAGGAGGGAGGTGGGAGTGTGTGTGAGAGAGAGAGAGAGAGGGGGGGGAGGGAGGGTTAGAGAGAGTGGGAGATCGTTTCTCGTCATCGCCAACCGTTGCTAGAATTCCTATTACCTTCATCATTATTATATATAATATACATAGTTTGACATTTTATATTTTGCACTAAAAAATGATATTTTATTTTAAATTAAACATACATTAAATGTAAATTTTGTTACCAGCCAGGGACGTATAATCCTCAAGTTGAACAAATATCTCCAACCTTTCCTGATCAATTAACTCAAGATGACCAAGCATTTAGAACCACTAAAGATGAACTAATTCAGCAAATAGGGAAAGTTGACCGAGAAATTGCAAAAGCAGAGTCACAAATTACTATCTTAAAAAAGAAGCAGACAGAATTGGAAGAATTGGCCAAAAAACCTGCTGTTAAATTAGAAGTAGAGGAAGATACCACGCCGAAACATCAAAGTTTACCTCAGGTAAGTAGTTATATTAGTAAGATGTATTTAATAATATTAGCTCATCTACATACACTTACACACGACGAAGTGAAAATTAGATACTGCAGTTTATTCTAATATATGCCTTCCATTTTTTATCTAAAATTTGTGCTGCGGCCGTACTATGATATTGATTGATAGGACATCTATATAGTGCCAAAGAGATCAGAGAAATCGCAGTGGGAAATTCTAATCTATTGGATTTCCGCTTCTCCAGTTTTTTTTATCGAAATTCCTTAAAAACCATAGTAAAAAGAAAGAAATACAACAGTTATACTAAATAAATTTGTATACTTGATATGATTTGTATCTACACTCACCGGCGCTAAAAACGGGCACCCTTATAATTTCTGAAGAAGTTGCCCTAATCTTTAATTTTTTCCGTTCTTTTTAAAACTTTGTCAAAGAATGAACACCCAGAAATTCCTAAATAGATAGTTTTTAACGGGAAACGGCAAGAAGTTAGAAAGTCTTTACAATATTAAAATTCTTATCTTACCTTACTTCAATGTCTCAAGGAGGCTGCGCAGTTTGAATTGTTTTTACTATGACATTTCTATTTATTGATGTCAAAAATGTTTATTATTATCGTGTTTGTGTCAATTCTTGACAATTTGACGATATTTTTAAGTGTAGAAATTGTAGCATCTATTGTTGGTCTTATTCAGGACGAAGGAAGTCAAGTTTACGTAGCTAACAGATACGGAGTTGTACACAGTTCAATGTGTGGTATTGGAAGGTATAAAGTGCCCTTCTCGGTCCTTAGTAATAAAAACTTATAACGAAGTATATTTCAATTAACTTGCTACTTTATTTCGTTACTATTACGTTGTTTACATTTCATGACTAATATCCATACACATCCTAATATTTATAAACACAGTTCTGCGACCTACACTAACGTTGTGAGAATATTCTAATATATATATTTCTAGAATGACCATCCTTCTGCATAGTACTCTATATATCTAACAAAGGTAAACGATGTGCCAGTTCAAGTTCACGTAAGGTTCATGAATGTTTTAAATATTAAACATGTATCGTGTAATTAAATAAGAATTATTTATACTATAAGACTAGTTTGCATTTAAATACTTATGGGTTAAAACCCTATTCCAAGTGCAAGTGTCTTTTATTTTATTATATACTTTGCTTTACTTCTGTTCATATGTGCAAATTATAAAGACTGCAAAATACTGATTTCTTACGTTTTATTTTATTGTTGGAATACAAATTTTGTGTTTATAAATCTAAGGGAATATATTTTATTTTATATATTTTCAAATTTATTCTGTTTATTGTTCAAATAAAATTATATTTTGTTGCCTAAATTCATTGATTTTTTAGTCACCTAACAAACTACATTACAACAGTAAAAAGAATTTAATTTAAAAAGAATAAAATACATAAAACAAACATATTATGCTATGATATTGTGACATTCAACCCTTAATCAAATCGTATATATTCGGGTCCAGGGCCAGGCCAACTAACTTAGTTTGTTCATTGGGCCATCTACTCTTATTTCTCATAGCATTTCTACTCAAACGTGAAGCAATTCTGTGCAGTGCGGCTTGGAGTAAAACATTACATGCGAGACATATTATGTATGCGGCGTGGCCTTTTGTGTTACATTCGTGCGAGGCACACTTGCAACACATGGCGATCAATATGATATACTTCTGATAAAGATATCATGAGTTATCAAAATTCATGTATATAAATTTTACCAAAGATCCAACCCCCATGCATGAAAAACATCCCCAAAACATTTTTTTACTGGTTTGATCAATATGAGATGTAAGGTTTTCATTGTCAAACTTCCTGACGAATTTTGACCGCTGTACCTGAACTATAAATGGGAGTTTCATCTTTAAATATGACTTTTCTCCAGTCGTCTACTTGTTCAGTTAGAAGCTGTTTTTTCTGTGGACGAATTGCGCTATTATCATTCTCCTAAAGTCTTTTCCGAACAGTTCAGTCATGAATCACTACACCTGGTGCTGCTAGATCTTGTTGGAGCTCTTGGCTTGCTATTCTTGGGTCCAATTTGCTTTTTCGAAGTAAAAATCTTTCATTTGCTGGTGTTGTTTTTCTCTTTCTTTCGCATTTTTATAACCTTTTCACATTCATTGATCCTGTTTCTTGTTTACGCTTCAAAATTTTGCTTACTACACCCTCACTCACTCCACACGTTCTTGCTATTGCTCTTTGTGACATATATGTGTGTTCACTTAACGTGATAATTTTTTTACCCTTCCTAGGCGCAACCATGATGGAATTAAACGAAACAAAGTAACTAATTACCGAACACAACACAAAATAGTACAAAACAACAAAAACTTATTAGGACATGTCCTAAGACACCCTCAAATAAAAGTCAGATAAAAGTAAGGTTATGTTTTCAATGCTTGGTCAGTTGTAAATGTGTGGACAGTGTTGCCAACTGTGCATATTGAAAAGTTTCACAATGATTCCATTAATTCGCACAGTACTGCATTTACGAAGGTATAATGTATAAAATAATTTTTTTAATTATTCTCTGCTTTAAAATTTTGTTTAATGATGTTAGTAATTTTCAAAATTTGTTAAGGTAAATGTACTAGTAGTTGACATTATAAGAAAAAAAAAACATTATTTAGCCTCAAACCGATGTAGTTGTACTTAAATAAAAAATATATGTATATTCAGGTAATCTAATCCTTCCTGAATAACAAATAAATTTTTGGACAATTCTGCTTTCTAAATATTTTTATTATTTATTTTTTTTTTATTTTTATAAAACTGATACTTTATTCTTTCTCCTGAAATGAGTATCTGAGGTTGGGGCATCCTTTTTAGGATTTGATGAAATGTTATTACGCTCACATCTTTATCATTAATTCGAAATGAAGTTTTACTGTCATTTTACTGCTACCAGATTCAACCTATGATTCATTATTATCACTTGATGATTCTTCCTTTTTCTTACTTACTTTTTTTTTGTCATTTTCAGTTTCTGTTTTTTAACAAAGTTTTTTTCTTCTCTTTTCTTTTATCTCTCTTCTGCTCTTTTCTGTTTTTCTTCAAGAAGCTTGATCTTCTTATTTTCTTTATTTTCATGATAAGTTTGCCATTCTTTTGAACTAGCCACAGAAGGAACTTTTTTCACTCTTCTTTTTTTTACTGCGGATACTCTGGGTTCAGGCCAAAACAGTATTCGTTTAAAAGGAGAGGGTATAATTTCATTTGATTTGTCCTTGGATAGGAGGCATATTTTTAACTGAAATTTAAAATTTTTGTTTTAGTAGTTGACATCCAAAGTGTTTCAATAGTTGACATAGTGTCAACTACTAGATAGAGTGGACACATTTACGTGATATTTAAAATATAAGTGTACACATTATATACAATGAAAATAACAATAAAATATTAAGTTTTTACAGTCTCAGTCTAAATGGTTAGTAGTTGACACCTATGTCAACTACTAGTATTTTTGTGTATTTGTGAGTTAGTAATTGACACCTAGCCTAATTTTTGTTTTGAGAATAAAACAAACTTAAAACATTAGCAAGATGTTACCTTAATATTCATATAATATATTGATATATCTAAAACTACAGTCATTCACAATTTAATCAATAAATATTAATTTTTTTAAACTTCTTAATACTTTTGTTTAGAAAACTTGTTGCCACTTGAAGCTCACACAACACTCTGACAAAAATTTGGTGGGAATTTTCTGTTTCAAGGTTAAATAATTCTACAGTTACAGAGAAGATGTATAGATGACACTAGTTAACTATGATGGTAATAATTACATTAAAAATAATTGGAAAAGCTTATTATTTATGCTTAAAATGGAAAATGTCAACTACTGGTACAGTGTCAAGTACTAGTGCATTTACCTTAAATATAATATAAAATTTATTTATTATTTACATTTTCATTATTTTGTTTAATTTCTTTTTTCTATGTTTAATTTCTTCATTTTGTTTATAATTCTATTGGCATTCTCGGAGTGACCGTGGATGGGAGGCATATCTATATTATCGTCTACGCACGGAGTGATAGTTTTTAATTTAATTTAGTTTACTCTATTTTATTCTATTCGATCGATTTAATTTTATTTTTTAGTTGAAAATAATTAATAAAAATTAGCCAAATCAATCCAGTCGTTCTCGACTTGTTATAAAATAGTTATAAAAAAAGTTATAAAATAATAAAACGACGTTTGTTATCTCAATCATTATATCATCAAGATATACTAGACATGTTTTCCAGGTAAGTACTCTTAAAACCAGACGTTCAAACATATCGTAAGCGTTACAACGACCAAATGGTACAATCTGAAATATGTAGAGACCCCTGCAGTTAAAAAAGCTATTTTGTCTAAGGTCTAAGGTCTAAAACCATTTAGCACCTGATTAAATGTTTAGTGTATCATCTATTCGTGGCAATGGATCGATGGTCTTTTGTGTAACCTGATTTAATTTTCTGTAGTCTACACAAAAGCGAGTAGCCCCATCTTTCTTAATTACTAAGACTACTGGTGAACACCAGGGGCCCGAAGCTTCTTCTATGGTATCGGCAGTTATCTGTCTTGTATTATTTTTTCAACTTTATTTTGCCTAAATAGCAGATGGTAATCTAAGGGCTTGACGAATTTGTCTTGCATCTCCTGTATAAATTCTTTGTTGAACTAAACTTTAAGTTATAGTTTGTCCTATAGATTTCTCAGATTCAAAAATGTCGTAGTTTTCATTAATACATTCATTAATTTTGTCTAATTCTTTAGTTGTTAAGTGATAAATATTTTTGATTAGTTGTTTAAAGGGTTTAAACTGAATAAATCGAAGGTGTATTCTTTTTCAAATATTTTTCCCACCTGATTTTTTCTATTGTCGTACAGAATGCTGTTTGTTTTTCTTTCTTTAATTTAAGCCTGGCTATCAAAATTCAGTCACTAACGAGTTCCTTGTGTGGTATTAAATAGGTTT